ATTAAAGGCATGCGCCACCAATGCCCGGCCTATGTTTATGGATGTTAAATAAAAATGTTAAATAAAAATGACTTGCAGTGATAGCACATGCCTTTGATCCCGGCACTCTGAAGGCAGAGGCAGGTGGATCTATGTGAGTTCGAAGCCAGCCTCCTCTAGAGAGCTAGTTCCAGAACAGCCGGGATTATACAGAGAAACTCTGTCTTGAAACAAACAAACAAACAAACCAATAGAAAGGATTTTACATTGTTAAAAAGTGAAAGTGTTATGGAGAGGGGTGTGTGAAGGGAAGAAGAAGGAGAAAGAGGAGACGGGGAGGAGAGGAAGGAGGGACAGTGAAGAGCGGGCAAGGATCAAACTGCAAAAAAGGAAAAAGATGACGGAGCAAAGATGAGGCTACAAAACCCAAAAGAGTGCTGGGAATTTAACTCCATAGACTTGCCCAGCATGTGCGAGGCCCTGGGTTAAAAATAAAAGCAATGATAAATAAAACAAAATGTTTACAGAAAAACATTGTAGCCCCTTGTCTTTGAAACACTTCTAGACAGCTGGGTGACAACATTTCACTACCACCCATATTCCACTGGTTGGCCATGTCTAACTAACTGCAAGGCAATCTGGGAAATGTAGTTTACCTATGTACCCAAGAAAGAAAAACATGAACTTGGTACTCATCTGTAGAACCTGCCACAACATGAGGGGCAATGTGTTATCCCCTCACTGTCTTCCAATGAAGAGAAACAATGACATGGGCAGGAGAATGTCCTGCTGCCCAAAGAAGTGCATGTCCTGCTTATGCTTGGCTGTGCTCTCTCCAAGAGCTAGATGGGAAAGCCAGCTTAAGTCATGTGGAGAACAACCTTCCTCTGGTACCAGTTACTGAGGGCAAGCATCCCAGACTGAGGTTTTGTTGTATGTGGGAAGAATGCTCTCTCCTGTCTCTCTCTGTCTCTGTCTCTGTCTCCTCCTTTCTCTCTCCTCTTTCCCCCTTTCCTCTCTCCCCCTCCTTTCTATTTCATCTCTCTTCTCTCTCTCCCCCGCCTCTTCCTCCCTTCCCACCCCCTTTCTCTCTCTGGCATGTGCCTGGGAGAGCAGTGTTGGAGCTGAAGGCAGCCATTCTACACAATAGCTGCCGGAGATGCCAACTTGGGCCCCCCCCCAGACTTACAGTGTTGGGGTGGGGTGGGGAGGACCCAAGAGCCTGCAGACTTCCAGGGGTCACTACAGAGCTGGCCCAGAGGCCTGCCCAGTCTCTGACCTGCAGACAGGAGCTCTATAAAAACTGCTTCTTGTTTAAACTTTGAGTCACTGTTTCGTGTACTTTTAGCTGATCTGATGATGACTTCTAGCACAACCCTGGCAATGGGCAGATAGCTCTCCAGGAGCCCCCGGGGCCTGCAGCCTCCCTCCCTGGTAGACAGAACCCTCAAGGCTCTCCGTATTTGGAATCCACATTTGCTCCTGACCCCAAGAGCCAGAGTCCTCATAACCAAAGGCACCAGTAGCCTCCATTTTGGAAGGCTTTTTGATTTTAATGACTTACAAAACTTCGATTTTGAGATTGCTAATTCTAATTTTCTGAACATCTAAAACAATTCCTGTTTTAGATTTTATGTGCATAAGTATTTTCGCTACATATATGTCTATGCACTATGTGCATACAATGCCCAATGGAGGCCAGAAGGCGGCATAGGATGTCCTAGGGCAGTAGTTACAGACCACTGTGAGCCTCCGCATGGGTGCTGGTGACTAAACCTAGGCTCTGGGAGAGCAGCCAGTGCTCTTAGCTGCCAAGCCCCACATCCCTGTTTTTTAAATGCAGACTTATTCACAATAGTATCTGATGAGAAATGAAATTTGTGGTTGCTTTTGTTCTTTTTAGACAACTAAAAATTAAAGACTAGTCTGAACTGTAACTGAACCTTTTCCCCTGTGACCCTTGAAGGCCTTCTAGCTCAACGCCTGCCCCCCTTCTTTCCTCAGTAAACAAAGCCCCTAACATGGGGCTGACCTACTCAAGGTGCGGTAGAACCAGTGTGGGTGGGTCACCCAGGCCTACCATCTCGGATCGCCCATGTGGCTGGCACGGGCACGTTGCCTTGCCAGTGACAGCTAGAATCTGCCAAGTGCCTATGCCCGCTCTCCTAACAGGTGGCCCATGGCCCCTTGGGAAGATCCAACCTTCTTTCTGCTGTGATAATGGGGAAGTGCTGTGCTATTTGGCAAAATGAAAATGTGTGGTATAACACCGGCTGATTCTCTTGTTGGAAAGATAGTTTCAAAATCACTTTGGCTGGCCCAAAAGAGCTGAGATAAGCTAGTCTCACTACTAGCTTGTCTGGGACATCTGGTACATCACTGGGTCAGACCAATCAGTGTGTGCCTTAGTGATGATCTTGACTGTCAGTCACATTCACTGGACAGCTGGAGTATAGGTGGGTTACCAGGACAGAATCACCTCTTCCTGAATCTCTAGGTCTCTTGATCCAAAGAATTCAAGAGACTGTGACCTGTTGAGCAGAGAGGGAGGATGGAGACCCAGGAGGCTGCAGACCCCATGAAATCCAGTTTGTTGGTACCCTCAACTTGCACATGTAGCCCTTTAAATTTTTTTGAAATTATGTGCATGTGTGTATGTGGGGGTAAGCGTTGTACCTGGGTACAGTTCGGCCACAGAGGACGTCAGACTCATGAGCGCCAGAATTTCATGGAGTTGTAAGCTGCCTGATGTGGGTGCTGGGGAAGGAACTCAGGTCCTCTGGAAGTCTCCAGCCCCCACCCCAACCCTTTCTTAATGCTTGTATTTTTTAAATAATATTTTAATTTTTATTCTAGTTTAAGACTCACAAGAATTTGCAGAGATAGTTTGGAGGGTTCCCATGGGCCCTTCCCCGGCTTCCCTCAATAGCAACATCTAATGCAACCACAGTACTCTCAGGCAGAAGTTGGCACTGGTACATTCTATGAACGAGAAACCTTTTAGAGTCCACAAGTTGTTCCTCAGCACAGCCTGCGTGCTCACAGGCACTGCTTCTGTGAGATTTTATTGTACTGTATAATCGTCACTTCAATCAAGATACAGAACTGTCCCATTACCACAAAGAACATCCCCGAGCTTTCTTTAACAAACGTGCAGACATTCGCAGACTTCCCGCATATTGTCAGGGAGAGCCAACAAGCTGTGGGCTAGACCTATGATTTTTAAGTCACAGTCTTCTCTGTGGGTTCCTGGGTACTTTGGATTGACATGAAGACTCACTGAAGGGCAATATGTGCAGGATGCTGAGGGTTACGGGAGATACTCAGCAAATCTGAGTTTTTACCCTTTCGTTCTCATGGGTCAGGTGAGGGGCATTATGAATTTTCCATGCAGGCTTCTGGCTATATGTGGTACTTGGGGCTTGCTCTATGAATGAGAAAATTCCAAGACCCAAGACCTGCATGTAACTATAGTTAATTTGCTGAAACTAAGATGTACCCCATATGCTCCAGAGATTGGGGGTCAGACAAGTTCTTCCAACTAATACTCAGCATCCATAGGTTGGAAATGACCTCGTGTGACTACTTGGGCTGGTTAAATAAGAGAGCAAAGAAACTGAAAAAATTGAAGGCCCCTAAATTTTGGATATATTATAGAATCACTTGGTGATTAATAACAGCCACTCACTCTGTGCTCTGCTTTAGAGTACGAAAACAGGGGTTTTCCAAAAAGTCCCCAAAGTGGCCTGGGAAATACGGAATATCATTATCCCTGTGGTAGAGACGAGGAAAGCTTGGGCACAAGATCAACATGCTCAGGGCAATGGAATTTCTGTGACACTCTAACTCTCTCTGCCTGGGTTCAGAGTATACACATCTCAACTCCTGTTCAAGGTCTGAGGAGGAGCCAGGATCCTTACTCTCAAGAGTCAGAGGATGAAGTGCTCCCTTCGAGCCTCAGAATGGCCATCCTATACCACTTATGCAAACAAGACCGCCTGGTGAATGCTGCATGCCCATTGGAAAAAGGCATCAAAGAAACTGCTTCAGCTGCGGCCGCTCCAGTCTTGTGAAAACAAGACTGTGTTGGTGTTCCTGGGACGTTTATTTAGCACCTATGGTGTGCACGCCCTGTGCTAGGTGACAGGAATAGAATGGAGTGGGGACAGGTGTGGTGCCCATTTTTCTGGAGGCTGCAACCCATCAGTAACCCTGTCAGGTAAAGAACCTCAGAAATGCCTTGAAAATCAGGGTCATCCCAGCAATGTGGTGAAGCAGCATCAATCAGGGGCGCTCTCTCAGCAGAGGCTGTGGTCTAGCAGGAAGTAGGTCCTCAAGACCAGAAAGCAGAGGCCTAAAGAACAAGGAAGCATGCAGGAAGCCCTTGAGAAGAAGGCTAGGGGAGAAATAGGGCTGAATTGAACTCAGGAAAGGGCTGGCTCTGAAGAGGTGGAGAGCTTGCCTTGCATGTACCAGGCCCTGGGCCCTGGCCCCAATCTCCACTGGGCTTCTACAGGAGCCTTGAAAAGATCCAGAGCTGTGTGAAAGCAGAGAATGCCCTTCAAGAGCGCTCACGGACAGACAAGGCACTGTTTGTGTGCTGGGGTATAGGGTATAGGACTTTCCAAAAGACTGAATAGTGATAGAAGCCCCTCAAGGGGAGCACTCCTTCCATGCCAGAAAGGACAGCAAGTGTGTGCTACCGGAAGATACAAGGCCCAGAGGTCTGCCAAACGCCTCTGGGAGCCCCCCATCCCCATCTTTCTCTTCTCACAGCCCCATTGAATTCTGACAGAGACTGGTGGTGACCTTCCCACCAGAAAACTACCCACAAACTCTTGAAAACTTTGCTGGGGAGAACACATGAATTTCCAGGCACTACACTAAGAAACCAAGAAGGCAATGGTGCCAACACCCTAGGCCAAATCAGTTTCCTGTTAGGATGAGAACATCCTAGGGCCTAGGACCCAGTGAATGAGATGCGCCCCACATACATCCACTCTTCAGATACAAAACAGGTAAACAGCACTTAACAGGTACTCAATTCTGGGAACACAGAGGTGAATCAGACACAGATCTGGTCCTGGGAAGAGCCAGCCTGGGATGAGAGGTGGAAATGGCAGAGCGATCCTCTTCTTGCTGAGGCTCTCATAGACGAGTAGACGGTGATTCTCAAAACTAGGAGGGACACAGCAGACATGAGTTGCCAAGAGAATATAGACGATTGCTTCTGAGATCCCTAGGGGGAAAGTTGGGAAACATTGCAAGTTCAGTGGCTGGAAACCTTTGTGTTGTGATGGTTGGCTACTGGTTACCTCCCAGTGACAGGTGACCATGATCAGCTTCCCACTAAAGGAATGGGTCTATCTCACGCAGAGCGGGTCAGCCCAGGGCAGGGCCAGCATACAGGCCAGGAACACAATACCGGCAGCATGATCACCCCAGGAGATGTCTGGGCAAGAAGGAGCGCCTGCCCCAGGGTTCAGGTGAGCCCTTCATCCTCCACTGCTACCCAGAGAACCCAACGAGACTGGAAGGGCCTGGGAGAACTCCATCTTCTCCCCTCACTATTCTGAGTGAAATGCGGGTCACTCGGGAAAATGAGGAGTGACCTGGATTGACCTGGGGGTCTGGGCTGGTCCGGTGGAGAAGGGAAAGTAACCTTCCTTCCTAGACACAGAGTTCTGAGCTGCTCTCATCAGCCGGTATAAAGCTCAGAGCGACTGCGCGAGGTAGGTGGGGCGAAGCCCAGAGCTTGGAAGTGTAAGAACGGGCATTTGAAACCATGAGTGTCCACCCCAAGACCTGTGCTCCTGCGCAGGATGCTCCTCGGCCTACTGGGAAAGCTCTTGGGAGGGCCGTGTGCCTCGCCACGACTCGGTGGTGGCTACGGGTGGCTCTACCTGCTTAGGAGCATCATAGCTTACTATCAACTTTGTAACTTGCAACGGTCTTTCTCCAGGCGCATTCTGTATCCTCTGATGCTGCCGCCATGGTCGCCGTCCTTAAATCCCGGCTAGGCTTTTAGTCATTCTTCCCGCCTTGCTTCAGTGGTGGCTCACGCTGCCTGACACCTGATTTCTGTTCCAGGGCTTTGGGTGACACCTCGCTGGCCACAGCCACCTAAACACGGGTGTGAAGGAGGAGCCGAGTCAATCTACGAGTCGAATGACCCCGAAGAAGTGGAGCTAAAGGAAGAGAATCTGGTCAAACCGTTAACTGCCCCCAATCCTGGAAGTTATGGAAAAACGGCCTCTTTCAACCTGGCAGGACAGCTGTCTCCAAGGCGACCCACGGAGCTGCCTCAGTTTATTGGGTTAAAGTGTTAAAGAGAGGCGGGACTGTATGGGTTCTGCCCAATGGGAGAGCTTGCTACTAAGTCATGTGTTTGCAGGGGACCCAATCAGAGCCTTGCAAGGACTGCTATTACTCGGGTGTAATGGGACTGCAAAATTGTGTTTCCAAAAATAGTGCTTCTAGGCCTTGGTCTTTGTGAGCGTGGGGAGCGCCAGCACTTGGATACCCTCATACCCAGCCATCCTCTTGAGATTCCTAATGGGTTGTTGTTGGACTAGAAGCACTCCGAGACTCGGGTCACTTTCTACCCCTGTAAAGATCAGGGAACTCTTTGCACCAGTCACAAGTGCCCCTCTTCTGTTTCTATCTTGTGCAACCTAGCAAGGACTGGCGTTGGCAGGACTCCATAGCCCAGACAGGTGAAGTGGCTTCTTCGGACACAAAAGCGCGTGTGTCCCAGCTCAGGTTTGAACCGGGTTTATCTACCAAGGGGAGCCAAAGGCAGGGAGATTAGGAACTCAAAGGCCAGCCTGAGCTACAGACCAAGGTCCTGTCTCAAAATACAAACAAACAACAGAAAAGTCAAACTGAGCCTCACTTTGGGGTCTGGTGTGGCTAACTATTTCATGCATGTCTGGCTCACGGCAAGCCTAGAAGCATAGGGAAAGCGTATCTCCCCAACCCAGTAGGCCATGATATGCAGGGCTGGTGAGATCATTTCTTATTGTCTCCTTGCCTGGCTGCCTGACGCCATGAGTGGGTTCCCCCAGTGACACCACTTAACCCGTATGAAGCCATCTGTTCTCTCAGATGAGTTCTGAGAGAGCAATGGGATGGGTGGTGCTCCCCGGACAAACCTCTGGGAACTCTCCCATCCTTCCAGGCTGATGGAGTGGCAGTGGACAACACAGGCTCAGGAGCTGGAGCAAACTTCAAATTTTGCCTCTCAAAGTTACTCTCTGTCTGGTCAGATCTAGAGTCCTTGTTTCCCACTGTGTGCACATTCCAAAGTCTTTTGAACAATATGACTGGGGCTGGGGAGATGGCCCAGTGGGTAAAATGTTTGCTGTGTAAATTTGAGGATGCCTGTGTCCATGACTCTGGGAAGGAAAGCAGAAGCAGGCAGATCTCCATGTCTGAGGCAAACCTAGTCTACATAGGAAGTTCCAGGATAGCCAGAGCTACACAGTGAGACCCTGTCTCAAAAAACAAGGCAAGCAAGCACACAAGCAAAAAAGGAAACATAATAAATAAATAAACAAATAGATAAATAAATAGATAAATAAAGTGGAGAGTGACCCAAGGAGTCATTCATTGCCGGCCTCCATGTGAACATAGTTGTGTACAACTGCATACATAAGCCTACCTCACAAGGAAGGGAGGGAGGGAGGGAGGGGGAGGGGGAAGGGAGGGAGGGAGGGGGAGGGAGGGAGGGAGGGAGGAAGGAAGGAAGGAAGGAAGGAAGGAAGGAAGGAAGGAAGGAAGGAAAGAGGGAAGGGTTTGACAGTTTGGAAAACTGAGCTAAAGGGGGGGATATTCCCATGTTACCGGACTCTGGATTCCAGATTTCCCTTCAGATCAATAATTCACTTTTAATAATCTACCTGAGTTCAAACCTCACAACACTTTCGTCGTCTGGTCTTGGATGAGAATGAATAAAATGGGTTAGTGTTCAGCTCTGTTCTCCATAATGGTATAGCTCTGTGCTTTTCTGAAGCTGCCCGCATGCCCACTCCCTGAGGGCACGGGTCTTCTCTGTGCACCCTACATACCCTTCCATCTCAGTGGCAATGCCCATGCTATCTGTCCTACTGAACCCCTGCTTTGCACCTTCACAGATGTCATCTCTCCACTCCTCACAGATACCCTGGGAATGGATCACATTAGTTTCCGTGAACAGATGTGGCCACTGAGGGTAGGGTAGTTGAAGTATTCAAGTTTCCTAGTGAGAAAGCAGTAGTGTCAGGTCCTCCCTCGGCCTGTCTGATTCAGAAGCACGTGTGGGGTCACTGTGTCGCTCCAGGTGGAAGAGAAACTGTTAGTAACCATGATGAGTAGGTGAAGCATAGTATAGCTGAGTCAGACAGCCAGCAGACCTATGCGTGTGAGCTGGTCACCTGTCCTGTCTTGCCTCCATTGACATCTGTGAAAACCTTTCTCTAGCCAGACTCTCCTGCTTCTGGAGTCAGTTGCCCTCCTGTGCCCGTCTTCTCGAGCCCTGGAAAAGGGGAGGCAGAAAGACTCCGTGCTGACTGAGTCTACAGCAGGGACTCTGGTCACTTTGTCAGCTGATAGAGGTAGGGAGTGGGTGGCTCAGAGAACCCACGGGACACAGCCCTTGTTATGAAACCACCTTTGGTTCCAGAACAGGAAAAATTCTTCCCTGCCCACCTTGGGCGGGATGGGCAGCCTGAGGGCAGTCCGCCTTCACAGGAATGGAGAAGACTTGGGGGCAGGGAAGCAGATGTGGCAGGTAGCCACGAAATTTTCCAGTCCCTACCCCTCGCCGGGCCTGTGACATCTCCACGATCAATAGGCTGGCCTGTTGGAGTTCTCAGCACGCCGTCACATATGTGACCCCATTTTTGAGCCTCACAGCGATGCTTCGCTGGTAGGTGTGGATGGGAGGCAGCCTGGCCCGGTGACACGCCAGGGGTGTGGCCAAGCCCAAGTCATCAGATCTGTGTTCAGATCCCAGCCTGTGACACTGAGAAATTGTCTCAACCTCTCTGGATCCAGGCTTCCTCCATCCGTGAAATGAAGATTCCTTGGGGGGTGATGTGGGAAGTTGGTGATGTACGTTAAGTTTCTAGGACCCCCATGAGGAACACTTTAGAGGTAGCTGGACCTTGTATGAAGACTATTGGCTAATGAATACAGGGCTGAGCCAGGGTCACTTAGAGTGGCCTGATACTCAGTTCCCCTATTTCATTGACAGTATACTTAGGAGGAAATTCTAGTCCAGCTGACCCAAGTAAGATGGACTTGGGCTGTGTTCTCAGCAGTGGGGGGAGGGCACTCCGGGGAGCAGTCCTCTTCTCACAAAGCGTGCTGGAACAGGATGACAGGGCAGAAAGCAGGACTGCTCTGATAGTCCTCACAGCCTCGTCAGCTCCCTGCCTGCGTCTTGCCCTGAGAGTCCCTTACTCCTGCTGTAACTTTCCAGTGTCTTGCTAGTTTCCCAAGATGAATGCGCCACACCTCAAATAAGCTGCTTGTCTCCATGACATGAGGCTCTTGGTTCAACCAAGGGATGAATATTTATGAAACATCTGTAAGCCTTACCACGGCTGGAGGGGGGAGGTGCTATACACAAAAAGATCTGGGCCCGCAAGGATCTTCGGGGAGCAGCACCGGGTGGATGTGTTCCTGTCCCCTCCACCTACCTTCCATTCCTACCCACAAAGGTTTCCTTTAAACCAACCCAGTTCCCTCCTTTTAACTCTGCACGAAGTGGGTGGACTCCTACTTCTTTAAGTCCCTGAGGGCTGTTTGGCTGGGTGGGTTTAGAGACAGCCAAACAAATGCTCTCAAACACTTCTGGGAGAGAAGGAATGACTCACAGTTGCACAGCGTATCAGCTGGCCCCTAGTCTAATGCATTCTGGGTAGCAGTGACCCAACCAAGAGACGCAGGGGAGCCTTCCATGTCTCGGGCTCTGGGGCATTGGAAGGGATAGAAAGGATTTGTCTTCTGGGAGGACAAACTGATATGTAGCACAAATAATAAAAACCCAGGGACAGATATTGGGGTTAAAGCTGAAGACCAGAAAAGCAAAGCCGCCAGCCACTAGCTCTTACCTCAGACTGAAAGAGTGATCCTGTCTCCATGAATCCTCAAATTAAACCCGACTGCCTCTGTCTCTACCAAACCTCAGACTCCCCTCAGCTCCTGTCTCCCCCTGCCTTATATTCTTCTCTAGTGCTGGGATTAAAGGTGTGGGACCCCAAGTGCTGGGATCACCTCTGTGTGAGCTCTGTTTCTCTTTTACACTGGATCAATTTCATGTAGCTCGGGGTAGCCTTGAACTAACAGAGATCCGTCTGCCTCGGTCTCCCAAGTGCTAGGATTAAAGGAATGTGCCACCACTGCCTGGCTAGCTAGTGTGGCTAGCTTTGCACTCTGATCATCAGCTTTATTTGTTCAAATCATTAACAAAATATCACCACACTAATATATGGGAACTGGGGTGACTTGGATATTGGCATCTTTTCTTGAGCTTGGAGTTTCTTTTGGCCTAGGCTTTCGCCTCTTACAGAGACATGTCTGAGAACTACTGCTTCCCAAGACTCTTGAGTTTGCTTTCTTTGGGGTTCAGTTTCATTGTCTTTGTCCCCCAAGAGAAACATCTCTATTTTTTTTTCTTTTGGTTTTTCAAGACAGGGTTTCTCTGTATTGTTTTGGAGGCTGTCCTGGAACTAGCTCTGTAGACCAGGCTGACCTCAAACTCACAGAGATCCACCTGCCTCTGCCTCCCTTGTGCAGGAATTAAAGGTGTGCACCACCAACGCCCGGCTAACATCTCTGTTATTAAAAGCATAATGTAAGTCTAAATCACTTGGAAACAGGAAATATAGAGGGACATTTAAAAATCACACATGAACTTATTGCCTGAAGATAACTTCAAGTTTGGTATATTTTATTTGAATCCTATGTTTTTCTCTTTTTATCTCTTGAATCCTTTTTTTTTTCCAAAACACCACACTTTGTAACAAAGCTAAATGTCTCATAGTATAACCAGGCGCTTCACAATCCCACATCTATGAAGCAGGTGTAGCAGCCAATATGGTGGATAAGTAAGTTGATTAGAAGTTGCCAGAAGTCTTGAGGGAAGCTGGTGAGCTGTTTTGGTGGGAGCAGAGTTTTCAGAATGAGCCATGAATAGTTCTGGAGATCCATCATAAAGCCATGGACTTGTGGAGAGCTTCGCCATGCCATGCCGCGCCTTAAAGATAGCGCCGGCTTCTGCCTTCCACCATCCCGACGGTGAGTGCTCTCAGTAGTAA